TGGCAGTGCATTGTTGCCAAATTGACCAAGACAGATTATATACTTTTTTTTAAATAATAATTTTGTAGATTTAAATAACTACAATTAGGCTAAAATTATTCAGACAATAAAACAATAACGTTTAAAAAAGATATTTTTTAAATTTTTACATTATTTACCAGTAAAATTTGAATAAAGAAATCCTCTAAAAGACAATATAAAAGAAACAAGGCAAGCTGTAGTATTTTAATAGTGTAGCATGCGCATTGGAAACAGTTTATCATTTGAGATAGATACATATACTTGTCTCTTAATAATTGCAAGGGGCGTGGTAAGTCGTTTACCCGTATAGGAGTTATATGTTCAAAATAGTCTATTACCTTAAAACCCAAATCTATTACATTTTGACGCATGCGTCTATTACGAAAAAAAAGTTATAGGTGGCAACACTGAGTTTGTGTCAATTTCCCCTATTAAGTTCGGGCTCCAGTTCTGTGTTGTCCGCTGAAGTGACAAGTGTCCTTGAGAAGACAATATGGTGCTCACAGCACAAAATTAAGCTAATCAGTGCCATAACTCCAAAATCTACATTAGATTTGTGAAGATGCAATAGATTTCCACAAAGGATGGTCGAAATATTAAAGGATTTAATAGTCATGTTCAAACAGCCATGTACTGTCCGTTCAGGCTAAGTTGAGCGGTCTAAGGAATGTCACCCCGTCCATCATATCTATGTTCAGGCACAATTAAATACATGTATTTCGGTAGCCGCTCTGTACGAACAAACTGCAATCCCCGGCACTGATAAATCATTTTCTTGTTACCGAAATCTCGCGAGGATTCGATATTTAATTTAATCAACGCCACATCCCAGATAACATTCGTGAGTTCACCGTGAATGCACGGTGAAAAATATTGCTTCACGCGTGAATTCACGGTTGCTAAAAGATGCGTCCGCCCCTGTAATTCACCGTGAATGCACACGTGAAGACATATCCGCCCATTGAATTCACCGTGAATGCACACGTGAAGATGCGTCCGCCCCTTAAATGCACACCTGAATTCACCGTGAATGCACACGTGAAGATGCGTCCGTCCCTTAAATTCACCGTAAATGCATGCGTGTTCTAAATTCGCGCGAAAAAATGAAATAAGGGTGCATGTTCAGAAAACATATTTTCCCCTATATAATAAAATAAGTTTTCTGAACAAAAAATGTGCATTCACCATAATTTCAATTTTTTCGCGCGAATTTTAGCATGCATGCGCACTCACTTTGAGCTTCACTTGTGCATTTACGGTTTCAATTCAAGGGGAGGACGCATCTTCGCGTGCGTATTTACGGTGAATTTCGTGCGTATACTCAATTTTTTTTGCACTTAATTTTAAATTGGAACGCAAAATAAAACGTGTTATTTATAAAATAACAGATTTTGTTATATTTGTAAATAAAGTCAAATGAAAAATGTTAAATAAAGATGTGATTTATGTCCAATTGGAGAATATTTTTTTAGACAATTATGCCATCCACGCCGATGGTGGTCTAGTGGTTAGTGCTGCTGACTACAAGCCGGAGGTCGTGGGTTCGAATCCCACCAGGGGTATGGCTGTTTATTTGTGTTTGTCCTATTGTGTATTAGTCCTTCGAAGGGGACTTTAAACCCGCGGTCCGTTCCTGCCCCTAACCGGCACAAGCCATTCAGTTGGCTTATGGGACTTCTTAAGAAGTAAGGGTGGAACTAAAAGAGCACTTTTGTATAAACTTTGTATAATTAAACTTGAGGTACAATAGTATACTGAAATAAAACACAAAGTGTTATGTTGTAAAGTTTATTCCGAATCAACCTCAGAGGTTTCAATGTCCTCTTTAACCTTAAAAAAATATGAATTATAACATCAATTAATGCATACACATGAGTATAATACTGTATAATATTTTATTATAATATATATTATGTATCACATATATGAAATTACATCTACAGATAAGTATACTTACTGAGTCATCACTGGACACATCATCAAATGAGTCAAATAACTCATCATTTTCCCCCTTATTTTAATTTCTTTTTGGTCCTTAAAAAATATATAAATTATAACATTATTAATGGATTAAAGCATTTATTTATAAGACTCATTTTATAAAATTTAATAAATATTATTTAAAAAACGCTTAAAACCAAAAAAATATTGTTTTTGTGTATAAAGAAAAGTCTTGCGATAGCTAATAAAAATATTCTGTATTAATTAATTAATTCATTTATTTTATTGATTAAAAAATTGTAAAATATTTGTCGACTTTATATTTACTAATAAAAATATTAAAATGGATGTCATATTTTGAATTCAAATAAAAACAAATCATTCAAACCAATTCAGCCGAGCGCGGCTTCGACTCATGAGGCGCGGAGCCTTGCAGTAAAAAATTAATAATCTTTAATGAAATGCCGGGCAGTGAAATTTTTATTTCAGGATATGAAACCTTTATATCCAGTACATGTAACCATGAAAAAAACTTGATTATTTGATAGAGACTTTATCAAAAATTTGAATTGTATATTTCAATGATAAAAAAAAGTATAAAAAAATTAAAAAAAAAAGTCCTGAAAATTTCACTACGAAACTTTTAACAGTTTTTTCACAATTAATTTTTTAATTAAAAGTGAGAAAAATATTTGTTACAAAAAAACTGTTAAAATTAAAATAAAAAAAATATATTTTAAGGAAATATTGTTACTAATGACTACTAACGATTGATGTATTAAAATTTAAATTCTATTACCAAGTGGAAAATGGGGGGTCCACTTGACGTGATCTGACTCAAAAAAAAAACAATGAATAAAATCTTTATAAAAAAATATAACCACAATAAAGCGTTATAACCATGGTTATTCATTGTTTTTGTTGTTTTTGCATAGTATATATACAATAAAATTCGTATCTTAAATTTGATCATGCAAAAATATAAAAATGTCAAACTTACCTTTGGAATTCCTGGCTAGCAACTTAAGTATTTATTGAACTGAATACCTATATATTATAAAACTGAAAAACTGAACCAAGATACATACACCTTGAAACTGAACGTTTATCTCTGAACCATAGAAAAAGGATATGAACTGAACGTTTTACCGGTGTACAGGATATCTAGCTAGATGTTTACCATATATGGTATTCTATAGAAAACCTCGTGGCTCTTAGCTGCGTACGCACACTAACGCTGCAGTGTTGCCGGATTGCAGCCGGATGATTTTCGTGAAAGTTCCCGACCAAAAATTACAAAATACTAGAAATTACCCACACGAGTAAAATTTTCTAGTACATTTGCTCAATTTGGAAAAGTGAATTAAATTTTGAATAAATTAAGAGAAAAATAAAAGGATAGAATTAAAGAATTATGTTTAGTTAGTAGTTATACAATATTATTTACTGAAAATTTCTTTGAAAAGTAAAATTTATAAAATACCTGCTTCAATATTTTACTTGCAAGCATGATGAAATACGCGATTTTCGGGTCAAATACCTGCAAGCGGCAACCCTGCATTTAGTTGAAATGTGACGGCCATAGGCGCATGCGCACGAGTGCCCGCGTATTTGGTTTTGCAATTATTATATATAATTATTATTACCTATAGGTATATTAAATATTAATAACTGATATTAATTAAAAAATGTACTTTTTTATTTTCCGTTTAATATTTAATAAAAATCTTTAATTAATATTCCTTTAATGTTATGTTTTCTTTTTCTTATTTCGAATTCGGTCTTCAAATTTATTTTGATAGGGTAGGTATACCTTCCCTATCAAACAGAGGTATAGCTATAGCTATAGCCTATAGGTTATAACCTATCAAAATAAATTTGAAGATCTTTAATTAAACGTGCTAACAGATCTGTATAAAATCTTGGAGATTCACGGCGTGCGTCCGGTGTGAATTAAATGTGCATACGAAATACTAGGGGGCATCCATTAATTACGTGAGGTGTTTAGGGGGGGAGGGGGTCGAGCCAAACCCCACCCAATCTCACGTGGGGGGAGGGTGGTCTCGGCAAATATCACGTAATTTTTGAAAAAAATGAAACAATGTAAAATGGCGAAAAAACTGGGTTAAATTAAGTAAACAATTATAACAATTGTTTTTTTTTTAATAAATCTAATGGAATCAATCACAGATTAACTTATTTACATTAAAACAATGCATTTTAAAATATCTCACGTGAGATTAAGGGAGGGGGGACGGGGTCGGGCAAAATCTCACGACATCTCACCAAGGAGAGGGGGGAAATCGCCAAAATTGCCTAATTAATGTATGACCCCTTATCTGTGAACTTACGGTGAATTTACGATGCACTTAATTTTAAAGATTCATGGCGTGCGCCCGGTGTGAATTTAATGTGCATTGCGAATGTAATTTGGAAACTCACAGTGGATTCACGATTAATTAATTTTTAAAGATTCACGGCGTGCGCCCTATGTGAATTAAATGTGCATTACAAATGTTATCTGTGAACTCACGGTGAATTCACGATGCATTCAATTTTGAAGATTCACGGCGTGCGCCCGGTAGGAGTTTAATGTGCATTCAGGAATGTAATTTGGAAACTCACAGTGGATTCACAATGCATATGTCTTACTGTTTTAACTCAAAGAATATATGGTTAACGGATTGACTTCCTTTTCCCGGACACCCTGTATATAGATATATAAATTGACTTTTTAAAAGACATACAAATCGTACGGGCACGGTGTTCTTTCTACGGGCAAGCGACCGGGAGGAAGGAAGGCAATCTATAGATCAGGCTTAAATTATCACATACCTTTAAAAATTCATTAAGACTATTTAAAAATGTATGTTTTTGATAGGAATAACTTAAGCTAAAAAATATTATATTAATTTACACAAAAATCTCCTACAATAATAATTATAATTACAATACATTACAATACGTATATACGTACTATATATATACGTACTAGTATATTGTTAATTATTGAATGCGCCCATTAAATTAAATAGCACGCCACTGATACATTTGTTGCCTCCCTTTTGAGGTTATGTTGCACTTCAATATTCACCAGCTACGATTTTAATTTTTACAACTGCCATTTATTACTAAAATAAACCAGTTTGTTATATAAACCAAGTTAAATTTGAAAACTTTCGGTGCTATTTCAAACCACAAATAAAGAAGGTTTTAAACCATATTTGTGTTCATTTATGATGACCAGTTTGGGGAAATGTGAATCGCCCGGTTGCGAGGAGGCTGCAAAGTTACAATGCCCAACTTGCATTAAGCTGGGAATTCAGGGATCCTTTTTCTGCACTCAAGAATGCTTTAAGAATAACTGGAAAAGCCACAAAATCATCCATTCTTTAGCTAGTAAGTAAGGTTAGGTATGTATAAGTTATGTCACAAATTCGGAAAATTGTCAACAAAAACATGTACAAATATTATACACATTTAGTCCAATTTATGAGTAAGATATTCTATTTCTAGTTGATGAATTATAATAATGTTTAGTTTAGATCCAAATTTATCTCTACTTAATTGGTAATTTGTAGATAAGTTAAGCTATAATCTCTACCAATGCTGGATTTATGCAGCACAAATTAACATTAAGTTAACATTAAGATTAACATTAACATAAAGAAGTTAAATGAACGTAAGCCATTGGAAGCTTTTATACAACACATTAACATTAACTTTAGCATTAAGTTAACATTAAGAGCAGGGCCCATTTTACCTAAAGGCCCATAAGGCCCGGGCCTTGGGCCCGGAGGAAAATTGGGCCCGTAAAAAGCCCTTGAAAAAAATTATAAACCATTTCAATTTAAATTTAAAATAAAGCCATACCTATTTTTAAAAACTAAACTACCATTGGTTAAGAAAATATGTGATACAAGATGGTCAGCACGAGCTGATGCTATGAAATCTATTGCGCTTGGTTTTAGTGAAATAAAAACAGCGTTAGTAGAGCTAAATGAAGATGCAAACCAAAAAAACTCTACCAGAACAGAAGCTGGAGATTTACTTAACAAAATGAATACATTTGAATTTGCTTTGATGACCTCAATTTGGAAAAGAATCCTAGACAGAATAAACTCCACAAGTAAATCTCTACAAAATAATCAAGCCAATCTAACTGCGGCTTGTACACTTTATAGCGGATTGATCGAATTTGTCGAGAGTTTTAGAGAACAGTTTGATAAAATTGAAGAGGAATCCAAAAAAATTCAGCCAAATAATAATGTTTATAAGGATGAAATTTCAAGAGTTCGTAAGAGGAACAAGTTCTTTGATGAAGGCCCTGCACAAGACATTACTTTAAGCGGTGCTGAAAACTTTAAAATAAATAGTTTTTTTCCTATATGTGATAAATTGATTTTTGAATTAAAAATGAGAATTCAAGCGTATGATTGTGTAAATGAAATTTTTGTTGTATTTTTTGTTGAACCCTCAAATTAAAGATTTAATGTAAGTATAAAAAATATAAAAAAATATTACAATATGGATGTGGATGCTACTGAAGATTTAGTGGATAAAATTATACAATTTAAAGCACTTTGTAAATCAAATGATATTTCCTCTAAAGACCCCCAGGAAATGTTAAAATTTTTAATTGATAACAATATTTTGTTAACCTTCTCTAACGTTAAGGTATTGTTCCGTATATATTTAACTATTCCTATTAGTAACGCATCTGGAGAGAGATCATTTTCTACGTTAAAACGGGTAAAAACCTATCTAAGAAACTCATTAAACGAAAAAATGTTTCATCGTTGGCTATTCTAAACGTAGAAAGCAATATTCTAGATAAATTAGAAAAGTTTTCGGAAATGAAAATACGTAAAAAAAAAATTAATTAGTTGTTTATTTTTATTAATTATTATTTATTTTGTTCGCTGTTCCTTAGAAGCTGAGTTTTTTTTATTTTTTTGTTGTGTTATTAATTTCAGTTAGAAATTTTGTTTAAGTATCGTTTAAATATATTTTTAGTTGTTTGTACCTACTAAATAATTAATAATGTAGGTATGTTTTTTTTTAATAAATATTTATTTATTTTTTTAGATTTATTATTAGAACAATTGAATACGTCAATGCAGAAACTGAATATGTCCTACCTATCTAGTTTTGAGATAAATAAGAAAAACTGAACAGAAAGTGGACATATGTTCTGGACATATTCAGTTTCTCTACTATATTAACGCCTTTGTATATTCTAGATTACCGTGACATGTGAAATTTCTACGCCATTCGATCGGGCTCCCTTTACTTATAGTAAATCCATGTTTAACTCAATAGCCCTAAAAAGTGGACATATTCAGTTTCTGCATTGACCCATTCAATTATCTAATTGATTAATTAAAAATTAAATTTTTTTATCATAAACCTGAAGGTGTCAAAGGTAATTAGAAACATTCTTATTGAAAAGTTATATAGGGTATTGATATGGGGGGCGAAGTTTTGCATGGGCCTTGGGGCCCCACTAAGTCAAAAATAGGCCCTGATTAAGAGAATCTCTTAATGTTAACTTAATGGCCAACTTTTATCTTCATAATGATGTTAATTTTTATTCCTCCTGCGCAGGTTTGCGGCGCAATTTTTAAATAAACCGTGTCAGTAATGCCAACATACCCGAAAATAAAATGAATCTCTGAATGAAACTTACTACTGAATGATTGATTTTTTATTCAATGATTGTTTTATTTGGTTTATTGTTTGACGTGGAATTTATAGTTTTCATTTATTTTACTTAACAGATGCTAAAACGGGATTAAAACAAACCAAAAATGTCAGATGTCAAAATTACTTTAACTTATACGCATGCTTAATTTGCTACTAATTTTGCTGCATAAATACCCTCCTATTAATGTTAAATTAATCTTAATCTTAATGTTAATGTTAAAGTTAATCTTAATGTTAATTTGTGCTGCATAAATCCACCATTAATCTTTAAATATTTTAACTGTTTAGAATGTCCAGGAATTCCCATGTATTCCTATGTCATTCCCTCTTGAAAATTGAAAAACATCCATTTTCGGCTGCTAATAAAAATTTATTAAAATTTAATACTTAAATAAATAAAAATAATATGTACCAATAGCTTTATTTTAAAATTTGTCATGCGCATTTTACATTTAAAACCTAAAATTTTAAAATGCGCATGCCAATAAGATATCCGGAACTAGTTTGGGATTTGCTTCGCGAAAACACCTAATATTAGATCCAATCAAATATTTTTTTAATTATTTTTAACTCTTACATAAAAATGCGAGAACGCAAAAATATACTAAAAAATTAATTAAACCACAATCTATAACAGAATAAAAAAAAAAAACAAATTATAATATAAATATTTCAATCCAGTAATTCAGTTTTAAGATACCAACTCATAAGAACTCATCATTTGGTTTATAACGCCTAAAAACAAAAGATAACAGCATTATCTAGGCAAACCTGGCGAATAAAATGAGTCAGGCAACTCGGGGATTTGCCGATATTTTGCAAACGTTGTAAACTGTTAGATTTTAGATTACAATACAAACTTAGAATATATACTGTAGGTGTAGCCAAAATTTTCAGCAGGGAGGGGCAAAAGAATCCAGACCTAAAAAGCACTACCCCTGGATCTCAAACAAGTGAGGGGTAAGAAGCAAAAGGGTACAAGTGCAAAAAAAGAGAATTGGAGTTATTAACTTTTAAAGTTTTTGCTATATACAAAAATTTGGATACTTGTTTCAGGATTTTTGTTTGCATTAATCAACATGCAGAATTTAAAAAAAAAATTGGACTTTAAACTCCCAATTCTGCACTTGACTTCTTTTCATGCTAAAATACACTTGTGTAATTTCATATCAAATCAACCAACCAGGTAAATTTTGAATATCTCCGATTTTCATTATTTAAGGTAAAGTTGTTCTATGTCCAGAATAATTCGAAAACCCAAAATTTTAAATTTTTTTAAACGGTAGTTTTTTGAATGGATTTTTAAAAATCAAGAAATTTACCAATTTTGCCTCTGCAGGCTCTTAAAACAACATATATATCTCAGGAACTGCTTATCACAGAGCATTGAGTAATAGCTTGTTTTAAGGTCCATCGAAGCCCTTTCACATAAGTTATCACATGATATACTTTTTCTTAAAAAAAATATTGAAATTTCTCAAAAACACCATTTTTAATTTTGTTCAAAAAAATATATGTATTCTTTTTACCTATTTATGTTTAAGTATGATAATTACCAGTTTCAGAAACACAAAAATATAAAAAAAAACATTATAGGGAATTTTAGTATTTGGACCATAAAATTCAATCTTTTACCAAAATTTATTTATTCTATGCTTGAGACATCTCTTTTCTTTTGTTTATAAAAATTCCAGCCTTTTCTGCCACCTCTAGGTTGGTATATTTAAGAAAAATCCTGCATAGAACAAATATGTACAATGCAAAATATTCACGTATTGGAAATGTTTAACAGCCTTGCATCAATGACCTACAGTGGTGATTTCTGTAAAAGGCCCTAGTTAGTGTCCTAAGACCAGGGTCGCCTGATTAGTGTATGTATTTTACAATTTTAAGCAATTTTTTACCAAAATATTTGTAAATGCTTAAAACTCACTTTTTTATGCACTACACTAAATTTTAACTATCATAGTTCACATTGACAATACAGAATGTTGTTGTGTCAAATTTAAAATTGGTAAAATTAATATAATTTTTATAACGAAAATTGCTGGGTGGGTAGGCTTTTTATTTTGGTTATCTTATAATACGCTTTTTTATATATAAATTTATTGTATAGTGTTACATGTATTTTCCAAAACATCATAATATTTTACCTCTGGCAACATTCCTATAACTTTGATGGTTCAATTTTCAAAAACTTATTTTGAGAAGTTGCGGAAACAGCTTTATAATTAGGGATGCACCGGATCGGGTATTTTGCCGATCCGGCCGGAACCGGAATTTCGGCCGCTGGCCGGACCGGATCGCCGGAATTCCGGCCGGATCGGAACCTAAATTTAAAATGTATGTGCATGCCTATTTTTATACGTAAAACATTGAAAATATTGAGGCTGATTTATTTTTATTTTTTTTAAACTAGCTACAGTATGCAGAGTGTTTATTACTATTAATTTGGAAAGAAACTATATTTTGTTAAAAAAAAAATTATTTGTGATTAATTAACGACTTAGGTAACAATAGGTAACAATAGGTAAGTAGGCACCAATTAAAAAAACCTTAAAATAATTTTCTTTATTTTTGCATATATTTGAATTTAAATTATATTAAAAATTTAAAACTTAAATATTTCCAAAAAGTTTCGAAAATTCCGGCCGGAAAGCGATCCGGCCAACTGGCCGGATCGGCCGGATTTAGTGGTACCGCCGGAATTCCGGTGCATCCCTATTTATAATGAAACAAAATTTAATTTAAACATTGGAGATTTTGCTGTGAATTATTCATTTGTCCTTATGGTCTTATGATCAACAAATTATGACCCCGGAACAACTTTTTTAGGTTGCAACAGAGAACATTCCAGGAATAGCTTTCAAGTTCTGCAATATATTGCTATAGGGTCATTCCACGTTACTCGGGGATTTTTGTCCCGCCCGTCACAATTAAAAATTGTGAATAAAAACTACAAGTTATAAAATTTATTTTAAAATATTGTTTATTATGCTTTTAATAAGTTATAAGCACAATAAAAATAATATTATAAAATATTAATTTAATAACTTGTGGTTTTTACTCACAATTTTTAATTGTGACGGGCGGGACAAAAATTACCGAGTAACGTGGAATGCCCCAATAGCGACAATTATTTCTTATTTTAAGAAAAAAAAAGATTTGCTGAAGCGCAGACTGTCGCGGGGACACAAAAAAATCATGCTTTGATTCCAGTTTCAGAGTCCAGAATAGTAACTAAACTTTTTTCTCTCAGCTTGGAACAACATATTCAAGACCTTGTTAAATGTGCTCAAATAACGAATTCTGAATTAAGGATTATTAAATCTGGTTTTGTTACGATTAACCATAAGAGCTCTTGGTGGTTAGTTTTTACAATTGACGCGTTTCTCGGAAGAACATCATTAGTCCAAAATGAACATATTTGGGAAAATGAAAAAAACTCTCTGACATTCCCATTTTTGACCAAAGTACTTTATTGACCTATTTACTACATGTAAAAAAATGTAAAATACTTTGTCCAGAATTCCTCATGTTTTTTTTTTCAAACGAATATGAAAAAACACAAAAAATACATGAACATGTGAGGTTTTTAGAAGAAAAAAAACGAACAATTGTCCTTACTACAAACACTACAAACTAAATATTAACTCTGAGTAACAAAATAAATGAAAAAACTAAAAACTGTATTACTGCCACACTCAGTCTTCGCATCCACTGCTGTTATCATCGTTGTCTACCGTGTTATCAGGACTGTCAGGTGCTATGGTCTTCTGGTCTTTTATCAAGTTATCATAAAATTTTCTATTGCTGTAATCATGTAAAAGAGGTAAAAGCGTTTCTAGAGTGTCCAAAAACGTCACATGTTATGCACATGTGACTTTCTTAGACGAAACGGAGTGGACTTGTGATGTTTTTAGAAGAACAAGCTAAATTTCATATTTAATTATTATGGAACCTATGACATTTTTACGAAAAACACTTATTTGTATACGAATATATGGAGGTTAGGAAACAGTTGGTGCTAATATCTAAATTTCGACGATATTGGACTAATGATGTTTTTCCGAGAAACGCCTCAATTGGAAAGAATGAAGAGTCTAAGAAAATTAAAGTTAGTTTTTTACACCCGAATTGACCAGCAAATTATTTTTATTATCCAAAACCTAAGGCAAATATATTGATAATTCATAAAGATACAATATTGAGGAAACTTCAGCCTGTTACTGGTACAGATTAAACTTATACCTTAACCAAAAAAGAAATGTTGTGAACTTAAAAAAATTCTTAAAAAAGACAAAAATTCAACTAATTTTAATTTGTTATTAAGTTTAAAAAATTATAAAAAAAGTTATTTTTATTTATTTTTAAACCTTATATATTTTTTCGTTTTAGCTTTAAGTTAATATATTCATAATATGTTCTATTTTTAAAATAAAACCGTTATTTTTGCTATGTAAGGATATTTAAAAAAAAATTATTATAATTAATTCATCATTTCTTCATTCTAAATTTTGGTGAATAAGTATACTATAGCTATAGCTAAAACATTGATAAAAAAAATTAGAAATGGTGTTTTTGAGATTTTTTTTTCAAAAATACCCATTTTTTAAGACAAAGTATATCATCTGGAAGGGCTTCTAAATACCTTTACCTGCAGGTAATGAGATATACCTGTTTTTTTAAGAGCCTGCATAGGCAAATTGGTAAATTTCTTGATTTTCAAAAATCCATAAAATTAACTACTGTCAAAAAAAAGTTAAAATTTTGGTTTTTCGAGTTTTTCAATGGGAAGAGCAACTGTACCAAAATTCATCAAAATCGAAGATGGTGCCTTCAAAACCTTTGGTTGATTTGATATGAAATTAGCCACGTGTCCCTTTTTGCTTCTTAACCCGTTATGTAATCGTAAAAAACAAGAGATAAGGTTCCTACAATATCTTTTTAATTAGTTATTTTCGACGGGTAATTAAATTGGCTAACAATTTAGTAGTGTCCATGCCAATAATCAAAATCCAGTAGTAGTCAAACTGTATATCGGAATGATGAAAAAATAACAAGTAGTAAAATCTTTATGTCAGGTGATTATTTAGGTGGTGCAGGTACTAAATTCAAGTTTGCAAACAAAACTTTCTTGGGGAATTTTTGTTGGGGGATAATTGGGGATGGTCGCAAATTGTTAGAAAAATCCATGCAACATTTTTTTTCATATGGGCTAAGTCGTCAGGTTTCATTTTGGGGGTGAAAAAGCGCTTACAGCAAAAATCAGTTATATATATATATATATATATATATATATAAATTAGGGTGTTTCAAAATAAGGCAATATTTTTTTTCTTCCAATTCATGTGATATTCTCGTCACTTATGCTAAAAAAAATTATGTCAAAATTTAAGCTCTTAATATTCATTTTAAAAGGTCAATCATCGAATTTAAAGTTTTCCCATTGATTTAACATGGAAAAATGGAAAAATAGTTTTTTAAGATTTATTTCGCCTGCATGCTATGTAGAAAAATATTGCCTTATTTTGAAACACTGACGACGTTTCGGTACAATCTCATGTATCATCTTCAGGTCTTATCTGCTGGGCTGCTGTTGCAGCCACCAGTTCCTATATAAACAAATTCATAGCATATACAGTGTGACCCATTTGTTTGCGACTCACCCCTGTAAAATCTTTATTTATTATGCGATTTTAACCGGATTTGTTTTAAAGTGTAGATCTTGATAAACTGTATTTTTGAAGCAAAAAACCCCATATTTTTACAAAATACAAGGCCTACTATGTCAGTTTTTTTGAATAATTTTTTAAGAATTAGCGATTTTTTTAAAGAAAATCTAAGCACGGCACTGGATTCACCACCCCTCAAAACGACCCTAATTTCCTCGCGCACAATCCACTGCCTTGTGTAATCGGCTATAATATGAACTTTCTCCGCCTGGCCTTAGGCCAGTGGCCTATAATGTATGTACTATTTCTAATGAATTTTATTTCAGGTTACATGGAGTAAAAAAATAAAAAAAAACAAATTTTTTGTTTAATAACTTTTAAACACTAGAAGTTAATAAAACGAAATAATAGCAATTGCTTTACTTGATAATGCTTTGGTTACTAAAGTTTATTAGAAGTAAAAAATGACTAGGTTACTCAGTGGGGTTTATTAAAAAAATGCGGTACCCGACTGGAAAAAAATTGTTTTGTTTAATTTTTTAAATTGGCTTTTTATTTTAAACAAAATATCCCTTTTGCGATTTATTTATATCTATCTCCGTTTTTTTGTAATTAAAATTTTTCTAGTATTTCTCCACAACCTATACAGATAAATGAAGGTAAAAGGAATGAGTAGGCCATGATACAGTCTTAGAAATCGACAAAATAAGCATAAAGACATTTTCAAATAAAACAATAGCTAAAATTTTATTTTCTTATCTTCTAGTCTTATCTTCTAGTTAAATTAATTTAGTTTTTCTTATTTGATTTTATTTACAAAACACAAACTGAAAAAATTAAAATATTTTAACCAGGAATTTCTTGGGACATTTTAAGAAGATTTTCTTTACCAATTTTTTAAATTTTCAAAACCAAGCGTTCTTTGATGATATTAAATTATAATTTAAAGAAGTATAGTTCTAAATAAAAGTTTGAATTAATTCATTTGATTTACTTAAGACATAAATTGGTAACCTAAATAAACATTAAATCATGGTTTTATGCATATGCACTACGTTTGGTTTTTTTTTTTGTTTAGAAGGAGAAGGTAGTGATGCAAAGAAAGATAACTCATTCAACCCATACCCTTTTTATAACTACACTGGAAATTTGAGACCTTTTCCTCAAACGCCTAGAAGGACAGTTCCTGCTTCAATTGGAAGACCTGATTATGCGGATCATCCACAAGGATATCCTTTGAGTGAACAAGCTGTCAAAGGTTCTGGTCACATTAAGGTTTTAGATGATGAGGAAATTGAAGGTAAATAATATTAAATATTATTTTATTAATACCAATCCTGAGACCAATCCACTCATAAGAACAGTTTTAAATGGTTTAAAATGTTTTTTAAGGAATGAAAGTAGCCTGTAAGCTAGGCAGAGAAGTTCTGGATGAAGCTGCCAGAGTATGTGATGTAGGCGTCACAACAGACGAAATAGATAGAATTGTCCATGAAGCCTGCATAGAAAGAAACTGCTATCCATCACCGTTGAACTATTATGAATTCCCGGCGTCGTGCTGCACTTCCGTCAACGAAGTCATCTGCCACGGAATTCCAGACACCAGACCGTTAAAAGATGGCGATCTCTGCAACGTCGATATCACAGTTTATCACAACGGTTTCCATGGAGATTTAAACGAGACCTTTTTCGTTGGTAAGGTGGCTGAAAAGCACAAAGATTTGGTAAAAGTTACGCACGAATGTCTAATGAAAGCTATCGAGATTGTTAAGCCAGGCGAGAAGTACAGAGAGATTGGGAATGTAATTCAAAAGCATGCTCAGGCTCATGGATATTCAGTGGTCAGGAGTTATTGTGGACATGGTATACATAGACTTTTCCATACTGCCCCTAATGTCCCGCACTATGCCAGTAAGTATTTTTTATTTTTTTTATTTAATATATATAATTTATTTCTGACCCCAAACCATACTGATATATCAGGGTGTACAAAAAGATTTGCAATATCAAATAGTAAAGTTTAAAAATATCACAAACTTAAATATTTTTTTAGTTTTGACACAACGTTCCAACTCTTGACTCAGCTGAGTCTGACTATTTAAATGCTTCGGCATTTTAAATATAGGAACAACAAAAAAACAATATACAGGGTGTCCTGAAATTAGTGCACCATACTTTAACAGCAATATACAGGGTATCACAAACTTAAATATTTTTTTAGTTTTGACACAACGTTCCAACTCTTGACTCAGCTGAGTCTGACTATTTAAATGCTTCGGCATTTTAAATATAGGAACAACAAAAAAACAATATACAGGGTGTCCTGAAATTAGTGCACCATACTTTAACAGCAGATTGTACGTGCAAAAATAAGAAAAAAAGTCCCTATAAACATCCCAAAAGGAAAGCCCCTGAAGATGGTTTTTATTTAATATCTCCAAAACCGTTAAAGATATAAAAATTTGGGGAATTAATTAAACTTTTTATGACCAATAAGACGTAACAATAACAATTTAAAAATTTTTATGAGGTTTGGGTCAGATTGATAGGAAGTAGGGTTAAAACCACCTTAACTTTTTTGTACGTATCTTGTACCAGAATTTGGTGTCAGATTATGAAATTTTAGAGTTTTGCACATAAAAAAGGTCATCTTGTTAAACTTCGATAACATACACCGTTTTCGCATAAAATCGATTTGAAAATTATTTTACATGGCATAAAAATTCACAATTAAATCACAACCATAGAAATGGACTCGCGTGGTCCTTGGAATACGGCTGCCATGTTAAGGAAAAAATAAAATAATTTAAGACAGGTGACAGTTTCATGTAGTAAGTGACAGGGTGTTTCTACTTTTTTATTTATATTAGATAAAAACCATCTTCAGGGGCTCCCTTTTTGGGGGCTGTAGCTCCCTTAGGAGGCATTTCTCGACCTATATTTATAGGGACTTTTTTCTTATTTTTGCACGTAGAATCTGCTGTTAAAGTATGGTGCACTAATTTCGGAACACTGTATAATAAACACAAAAACGCAAAATTATGACATCATCGATGACGTGTACATCGTTTCCTTTTAAATTTACTACATTTACACTGGTACCAATACTAAATGTATAAAACAAAGTCTGTAATTGAATATTTTAATGCATTTTAAACAATTTAAGTTGGCAGCAATTGCAATGTTGTCATGTTTAGATTTAAATTTTGCATAATGAAATGACGCATAGAAAAAGAAATTCGCGTTTTAGAATTTCGAAGCTGTCAGTTGTGTTTTTGAATATTTCGTTTAATTCGTGTATAATTTCGTTTATTTTGTTTGTTGTTAGTGATATTTTATATCGTTTAAGTTTTCATTGCCGTTTTTGTGTTTGTTATATAGTTTTACCCGCAAAGTATGTTATACTTATTTAAATCGACAAAATCTGCTGCGGCTCTGACACTGCAAAAGCGGCTTTAAGTTGCATAATGCCAGATTGTTTTTGTTTTTCTGACCGGCGGCCGGGGAATCCCAAGAATCAGCCACGCGGCCAATAGAGAGATCGCGCGGCGCCGATATGGGGAGATAATACACGGTCGATATCGCAGTGGTGTTTACCGCTTAAGGTTAAGGCAATATTTACCTTTTAGGATCTCAAAATCTAGTAGGCAAAACAAAATCACAAATTGGATTAAAATGTGTTTGTTTAAATGTAAAACTTATTTTTTTTTCAAAATTCCCAGGAATAACAAAGTTATAACGATTTTTGGTTTTGACTGGTTTTCAGTTTTCCAAATTATTTGAGAACCAAAAATGTTTCCCAAGTTTTAAATGCCATTTTATGGACTTACGCAACTTTTGTCTAATTTAACCGACATTATAGCTCCTTAAATAAAAAAGATCCCCATGCATAAAAGAATACTTGGCAAAAGTTGCCAAATATACAGGTAAGTATTCAGGTGCCTTACCAACCATATTTTTTTACATAATACATATAAAAATATTCGGACCTATGTGAAAATTGTTCTTGTATGTGTAAAAAGTTCAAGTACAGAGATTGGACACAGTAATCCAAGTAAGAATTAGCATTTTATGTAATTTAGAATAACAGTATAATATTATATTTTGTTATCTTTCTGATTAAATAAACTTTTTTTAACGTTTCTATGTTTTATATTATTCCTAGCACTTATTTCGGCATATTATTATAATTATTATTGTTTTTTTATAGATATAAGAAAACGAGCTAATTAAAAACAATAAGAATTAGTTCAAGCAAAATCCCAACTAAAAAATTTTCTATTTGCCCTTTGTTCGGCAACCACTCCTTCCCACAGTGGTATTTTATGTCGTGGCCTTTATTTTAAGTAAACACGTCCGACACATAACAATTATTGTAATATCGAATATATATCGATATAACAATTATTGTAATATCGAATATCTCGGAAACGGTTTATTTTATCGAAGTTTGGGAGATACACCTTTTTGATAGTAGCCGAACTGAGTAATCGAAAAATTACTTTAAATGTTATAAAAACCTAACCTCAAAGTTTGTATGGGACAATAAGCTTAGAGCAACCCCCGTTTGTACGACACTGTTCACTCAAACAATTGTAATTATGTGTATTGGTAGTAAGTGACTGTTAATATCACCTTTCCAAGTCTACCATAGTAGAAGTTATCTAAAAAAAACGAATATAATAAGTAACACTTTATCACCCCATGATACAACAAACCAAAGGTATGATTTCGCGCAGGAAGGCGTGGCTTAGGGACACGCCATGACGTCAGAAAGAGAGTTGGAATTTATTTCGCCGCTAGATTACCGTTGAATTTCAACATGTGCGTTCAGTTTTTACGAGGTTTTTTCTATTATTTTTGATTAATAATGAGGTGTGATGTGTTTGGGTGAGTTAGTAACAATCAGTCGAAAAATTTCGATAAAGATATATGGTTTTTTACGTTGTCTAAAGACAATAAAACGAAACAAGATCTTTTTTAAATATTTTCAGCCAGATTGTGTTTTTTATTTTAACTTTTGTTGCACATAAAGCCATTGTATTTTTTTAAATAAATTTATTAAGTTTATTAATATATAAAAACCTTACTGGAATTTTATCTGTAAATTTAAAAATAAACACTGCCTTAATAGGTATATTGTTTTATTTATTTTTATTTGTTGCTTCAATTATTTTATGCAACAAAATAATGCCAAAAATTTACTCTTTCATATAATTTGTAGATTTTATAATTAATATGCATACCTATTAAATTATTTTGTTTTACTACTAAAATGTAATTTGAATTTGTTTATTAATAATATTTTAATCTAAATTGTGCATGCATATATATATATATATATATATATATATATATATATATATATATATATATATATATATATATATATATATATATATATATATATATATATATATATATATATTAAATTATTTATTTAATATTTTTTTAATCTAATTAATTTATAATACATATAATTTTTACTTAAAAGTGTAAATAAAAGTCAGCAATATTTTACATTATACTAATTACTATTATAATGGCTTTTCAAATCAATTAATATATTACATTAATGAGAATTTTCTCTTAAAGATGCAAATTGAATGTGTATTTATGATTTTTGTATCTAATTGATACGTATTTCCACCTAAAAGGGTAAATAAATTACTTGTTTCCGCTATGTTCATTTAAAATCACTCTCGAACTGACGTCACTGCGCGAAGCGGACGAGTTTTGGACCGCTAGATGTCATACCTTTGGTTTGTTGTATCATGTTATCACCCTGCATCTTGGAAACATAAGTAATTTGGAAAAATATTTATTAAGGTTTCCGTCTTATTTTGACTTGCTCAATCTTTTCCTAAATTTATATATATATATATATATATATACATTTATATATGTATATACAAGGTGTCCCTAAACTTATTGGCATAAACTATCATATCAGTTTTTTTAATATAACTTCTACTATGGTAGTCTTGGAAATGTGGTATTTAGCGAACAGTCACTAACTACCAAAACACATATTCACGCATAATTACAATTGTTTAAGTGAACACAGTGTCGGAGAAACGGGGGTTGCTTTAAGCTTATTGTCCCATACACTTTGAGGTTAGGTTTTTTTAACATTTGATGCAATTTTCTGATTACACAGTTCGGCTACCATAAAAAAGGTGTACCTCTCAAACTTCGATAAAATAAACCGTTTCCGAGATATTCGAGATTACAATAATTGTTATAGGGTCAGAATTTCTCAAACGGGCCACCTGAATTAGGTCAAAATTAGTTTTTGATTGTAGATACATTTTTTCGATAGTATTTTACATCACTAACACAAATCCTAAAGGATTTTGTAAAAAAAAATTTTTCAATTGACATATTCATGATATTAAAAGTAAAAGTTTTTAGTAATTAAAAAATAAAAAAAAATCATTATGGCTAAACTAATTATCCGATTCCAACGATTTAACTAGCGTTGGAATCTTGTTTTGACATAGATTCTTTGTTATTTTTTTTCAATTGTAAAATTTTCATTTAGGTCGATTTTTTTTTGTTTTTTTTATAACAAATTCGGAAATAATTGGCTTCTGCGCCAGCTATCGACTCGAAAAAAAAAACACATATACTCCAATCATTTTTCGAAATTATGCTGCTGAGAAAAAAAATGGCCCGCAGGTTCCAGACCACCGTAAGACGTCGCGTCACAAGCGCGTACAGCGTACACGGTTCGGAGCGTGAGCTGACACCGCGCGCGGCCACAAAAGGACGAATAACTTTTTGTCAACCTGCGGGCCATTTTTTTTCTCAGCAGCATAATTTCGAGAAATGATTGGAGTATATGTGTTTTTTTTTCTCGAGTCGATAGCTGGCGCAGAAGGCAATTATTTCCGAATTTGGTATAAAAAAAACAAAAAAAAATCGACCTAAATGAAAATAGGACAATTGAAAAAAATAACAAAGAATCTATGTCAAAACAAGATTCCAACGCTAGTTATATCGTTGGAATCGGATAATTAGTTTAGCCATAATGAATTTTTTTATTTTTTAATTATTAAAAACTTTGACTTTTAATATCATGAATATGTCAATTGAAAATTTTTTTTTTTGCAAAATCCTTTGGGATTTGTGTTAGTGATGTAAAATACTATCAAAAAAATGTATCTACAAACAAAAACTAATTTTGACCTAATTCAGGTGGCCCGTTTGAGAAATTCTGACCCTATATCGCATTATTTAAAAGGATTAAAAGGTATATGATAACAAATTTTATTTTTTAATTGAAAAAACTAAAAAGGGCATTCCATGAGCCTCGGGACTTTTTGCCCTGACCATCACATTAAAAAAAATGTAGTTTTTTCAATTAAAAAATTTGTTATCATATAACTTTTAGTTCATTAATGCGATGTAACAATTATTGTAATCTCGAATACCTCGGAAACGGTTTATTTTATCGAAGTTTGAGAGGTACACCTTTTTAATAGTAGCTGAACTGAGTAATCGAAAAATTGCATCAAATGGTATAAAAACCTAACCTCAAAGTTTGTATGGGACAATAAGCTTAAGCAAACCCTGTTTCTACGACACTGTGTTTACTCGAACAATTGTAATTATGTCTGAATATGTGTTTTGCTAGTAAGTGACTGTTCGCAAAATATCACCTTTCCAAGTCTACCATAGTAGAAGTTATATTAAAAAAACTGATATGATAAGTAACACTTTATCACCCTGTATCTTTTAAACATACGTAATTAGGAAAAATATTTATTTAGATTTCGTCTTATTTTGACTTAATTTGCTCCTAAATTTATGCCACTAAGTTTAGGGACACCTTGTATATAAATCATGTATTTACTAATTAATTGTAATTAATTATTTCTTCAGAAAACCGCGCCATTGGAGTAATTAAACCCGGGCATTGTTTCACAATCGAACCGATGATATCGGTTGGCACGTGGAAAGATGAACAGTGGCCCGACAAGTGGACCGCCGTAACTGCCGACGGACTGTGGTCGGCTCAATTCGAGCACACTCTTTTGGTTAACGAGACCGGGTGCGAAATTATGACTCGCCGAAGGACCAAAAATGGCCAGCCCCACTTCATGGATAAATTATAGTTTTTAGAGCAATATGAAACAATCTTATTTTGATCAAATAAATCGTCTGATAATATGTTACCAGTAATTTTCTTTGAGTATACATTTCTTATGGAATTGGTAAGTATTGTAGCGAGTACCGCTCTGGATCTCCGAATGATGACTCATCGGCGGTGAGTCAGCGCTCGAGCGATCGAGAGCGGTCCAGAGCTCGCTGAAATATTCGAGAAGGCGCTTACGTGACTGGTGTCACGTAGGCACTGAATATATAAGGAACAGCGCAGCATGGAGTAGTAAGTTAAGTTTTGGTACTCGCGACGAAATAAAATAAATATACGTGCAAATAAATAGACTCTTAAATAGTAGTGATATATAAATAATTAGTAGTTAAGTGTTTAGTTAGTTTTATAGTTTGTTAGTGTAATTAAGTTATAAAATAAATCGTTTAGTTTGTTAATAAACCACTGCGAACAGTAAAAACGTTACAATTGGTGTCAGGAGTGCGGTTAGTGTGAAACTTCGCAAAAATGGTTTCGTTAATGGACTTAAAAGTGGCGGACCTTAAGCGAGAGCTAGAAGAAAGGGAATGTGATACAACTGGGAAAAAGAATGTGTTGCAGCAGCGGCTTCAAGAAGCGTTGGAACAGGAAGGTAAAAATCCAGAGGAGTATTTATTTGAAGGCCCTTGTGACATGCATTTAATGTTGCAAAATTTAAAAGATCTAGGTCGATTTACAACAGAAAATGCTAGAAAATTCTAAAGAACTAAAAGTCTATTTGCAACAGAAAATGGTGGAAAATTCTAGCGATTTGAAAATCGATTTACAACAGAAGATTCTGGAAAATGTCAACGATTTAAAGGATGATTTGCAACAGAAAATTCTGTAAAATTCTAAAAATTTAAAAGAATATTTGGAACAAAGGATTCTAGATAATGTCAATAAATTAGAAGAGAAAATGGGGCAGAAATTTGACGACGTAAGGATGGAATTAAAAAAGAACGTAAGGATGGAATTGAATGACGTAAGGTTAGAATTGGATGGTAAATTGGAACTCAAAATATAAGAAATAAATAGTAATTTAACAGCTGTTAACTCACCCATGATGCTTGCGAAACAAGAAGCAGTGCCGGAGGGGAGCCGAGATCGAATGAAACCACCTCAGTTCGATGGAAAAACTTCTTGGGCAAATTACATCCGTCAGTTTTAGGCAGCAGCAAAAGCAAATGGATGGCTACCAGAAGAAAAAGCTACAGCATTGACTTGCTTTACGCGGAGATGCAACGGACCTCTAGCAAACACTTTCTCCCAACGAACAAGAAGATTACGAAGCGTTGCACAGTGGGCTAGATAGCCAATTTAACGCGCAGAAATTATTTGGTTAAGTAATTATTAGTTAATGATAATTTTTTTGTCTAATTGATAAAATTTTAATAAAAATGACTTTTTACTACCAATATAAAAACAAATCCACAATATAATACTTTAACAACAAAAGTACTTATATTTGTGTGATGGCAAAATTAAATCTATAGTTTTAATGAGTAAATTACAAAAATACAACTAAACATTTATAAAATAAAACCTAATTGTTACGTTTTACAGTATTTTATCTACGCCAGTGAGATAAGAACTTCTTATCCCACTCATTTTGAGTGAGATAAGAAGTTCATTAACGCACGCGTTTTTCTCTGCTTTTAACCAATCAAATAAAAAAGTCAAAATGTCAAAATAACCCTAAATTAAGTCTTAGACAAAAATAATTACCGTTTATTTTTTCATTTTGAGGCATAGATAAAAATTTGTACAATATACGTGTGATAACGCTTTATTAACGTACTTTTGCGATTGCCCAACTCGTGCTACGCACTCGTAAAGCTCTTATCCCACTTATATCGTAAATAACTATTATACAATAATATTACTTCTTGGCTTTCAGCGTTTTTCTATATTTAAAAGAAAAATTCAATTAAGTTTTTCCCAAGAGACATTTATTTTTGTAAATGCATAGTCTACTAAGTAATTTAAAACCAACTTTCTATTAAAATGCTTCAAACAAAAAATATTTGTGGCGCCTACTAGCACTTGATTTTTAGATTTATTTAAAAGACAGAACAGTAAGCTATTAAAAACACAGACTGTGATATTGCGTGACATTTTTTAAAACCTTAGTATTGTTCATACATACATCAAAAATATGCAGCGCTTTCTTTATTGACGTAGGGACAGTACAATAATTATAAAAACTTACCATTATTTGTCCCAGCCATAACGTATGAGTCATACGGTATGACAGTATTGAATACAATGGGTCAAAAATTAAAAATAAATTAGGAATTAAAATTGTAAGAGTAGCAAAACCTTCATGCGCAATTTACCAACACAAAGTTATTATAATTCTTAAACTTTGACTGGTTACCTGATAAAAATTCAACAGATTTAAAGGTGATATAACAGTATTTGATTTGCTACAGAATTGTTATTAGTATCTTTTTAATTGATGGTTTCCATCACCAACGTATGACAATATTTAATACAATGATATTTCTTCTGGGCTTCCAGCGTTTTTCTATATTAAAAAAAAAATACTTAATTAAGTTTTTTCCGAGATACATCTATTTTTGTGAATGCGTAGTCTAAGTAATTTAAAACTAATTTTATATTGAAATGCTTTAAACTAAAACACTTTTCACAAAGCTCCCTATGAGTTAGGGATAATGTATTAACTGAAAAAAAAAATAAACAAACTTGCACTTGATTTAAGATTTATTTGAAAGACAGAACGGTAAGCTATTAAAAAAACCTAAACACAGAGTGTGACAGTGCGTAAACATTAATAATGTCCATACATACATTAAAAGTATGCAGCGGTTACTTTATTAAGGTAGAGATGGTTCAATAATAATAAAAACTTACCATTATTCGTTCCAGCCATAACGTATGACAGTATTTAATACAATTATAGTCAAAAAGTAAGAATAAATTACAAACATTGTAAGAGAAGCAATACCTTTACGCGCAATTTATCAACACGAAGCAAGTAATTATAATTCCTAAACTTTGACTGGTTACCTGATAAAAATTCAACAGATTTGAAGGTGATTTAAAGATGTTTCATTATCTACAGATATTAAAGAATTCAAAATTCCCTAAATTTGGACGAAATAAAACACTTACTACTTTTGAATTTCTTTCTTTCTCTAGCCTACTGTGCGTTGGTGAAACATCTGGAACTGCGATATGGCCAGACACATCTGGAACATGTCTACCATTCCCAACTAAAAAACCGCTGCCAGAAATCAAACGAGACTTCACAAGAATTCGAGGCTGATATTGCACGCTTGGTGGACCGTTATGAAACGATTAGTGGTTCAAGCCTTTTTGGATGGACTTCGGGACAACGAAACAAGACAGGCTCTGACGTTGGCTCGTCTGAGCCAACTGGTTTATGCATTGGCCCGAGCTTTGGAATTCGAGGCGGCAAAGCAGAGCTGCAGGAGCCAGCCTAGAATTAGGAGAGTCGAGGAAGAGAAAGAGGAGGAACCCACTATAATTGAAGAAGTCAGGCGAGTTCTTAAAGAGAATCTACCAGAGAAGAAGGAAAACCGGTGTAACAGAGTGGCGCCGACTTCATCTCAGTCGGAAAAATAGATAGGGTCGAGGAAAAGGGGCCACCGTCGACCTGTAACCAGCATGCCCTAGAAGACATCGAACGTGTTGCATCTCTTCTACACCAGTCCAGCAGAGTTTTTGTGGATGGTTTTATTAATGGAAATTTGATTTGATCTTGGACATTTCGACAATATTTGGCCTAATAATTATCTTCGTCGCACCTGTATCCAGTAGCACACGTAATTTAAATTACATGTGCTACTGGATACAGGTGCGACGAAGATAATTATTAGGCCAAATATTGTCGAAATGTCCAAGATCAAATCTACCAATCGTACTGCAACAGGAGATACTGCTACTGTTTGTGGAGAAGTGGACACGATGGTCATAGGAAACACGAAATTTAAACATCGAGCATTAGTAGCAGATATTGAAGATAAAGTTATGTAGGCATGGACATTATGAACTCTATAGGATTTGAACTAAACTTTCAACAAGGAATATTAAGGGTAAATGGAGAGGAAGTCGTGTTGCATCGATCAAAAGAGAAGAATATTCGTGTAATGCTAACAGAAGATGCTTTGATACCGGAACAAACAGAGATGATATTAAAGGCTTTCTTGGATTGTAAATAAGAAGATAGAAGTATAATGCTTCTGTAGCCGAAAATCGATGACAAAGAGGTCGGTCGAGGAATTTTAGTAGGGAAGACTTTAATACGTGTCGGAAAAGAAGTGCCTGTAAGAGTATTGAATGTTAATGGTTACTATGTGAACTTGAAGAAAGGAATCGTTTTGGGAAACTGTTCTTCTGTTTCCTCAATTTTTAGTAGCATTCGTAAGTCTGGAGTTCCGGCCAAGAAAATTAGCAATGAATTGACGACTCTGCTTTCGACTTCTTCAAAGGACTTAAAACCAATGAGAGATGGACAAGGAAAGAAGGGTAGGACAAGAACTGTACAGTATAAAATTAACACCGATGATACACAGCCTATTCGACAGTCGGCAAGAAGGCTACCTCTTGCCAGGCGAGAGGAAGCTGATAAAATTGTGCAAGAAATGGAGAAGGAACCATCTAACAGTTAGTTAAAAAAAAGGATGGATCCACTCGATTTTGCATCGATTTTCGTCAGCTGAACAACGTGACGAAGAAGGACAGCTACCCTCTGCTTAGGATCGATGACACCCTGGACACATTGGCTGGATCACAGATATGTCCAACTTTGGATTTAAAGAGCGGTTACTGGCAGAGTTAAATGGCACCAGAAGATAGAGAGAAGACGGCGTTTACCGTGGGTGCAGGACTGTGGCAGTTTACTGTCATGCCGTTTGGACTATGTAATGCCCCTGCAAATTTTGGAAGCCTCATGGAAATGGTTTTGAAGGGACTATCCTGGAAGACATGCTTGGTGTACCTTGACAACTTCATTGTGGTTGGGAAATCATTTGAGTACCATATTAAGAACCTGAA